ATGATGATGATGATGATGACGGTGATGATGATGATGATGATGATGCTGATGATGCTGATGACGATGATGATGATGACGACGACGATGATGATGATGATGATGCTGAGGATGCCGATACTGCTGCTGCTGATGGTGATGATGATGGTGATGATGATGAGGAGGAGGGAGAAGAAGAATAATAAAGGCGAGGAGAGGGGGATGCAAGGTACGAGGCACAGGGGGATCAGGAGGATGAGCAGGAGGAGGAGGAGGACAACGTTGCGCAACGGTTAAGGCCCCCCCCTGGCGAGAGGGGGGGGGGGCCTTAACCGTTGCGCAATCGATTGTGGAACGGTTAAGGGGCGGCGGCGGCGGCGGCGGCGGCGGCGGCGGCCGGCGGGCCCGGCAGGCGGCGTGCGCTTGACCGTTCACATTCGATTGCGCATCGGTTATAAGACCCCCCTGGCTGAGAGGGGACGGTCTTTGGTCTTAACGTTTGGCGCAATCGACTGCGACGCGGTTAAGGGGCGGCGGCGGCAGCGGCGGCGGCGGAGCGCTTAACCGTCTGACAATCGATTGCGCAACGGTTAAGGCCCCCCTGGCGAGAGGGGGGTCTTAACCGTTGCGCAATCGATTGTGAAACAAAATGGTTAAGCGGTTACGAGCGGCAGGCGGCGCGGCGGCGGCGGCTGCGGCGACTTAACGTGAAGCGCATCGATTGTGAAAACGGGATACGGGGCGGCGGCGGCGGCGCGTGACCGTTTCGCAATCGATTGCGCAACGGTTAAGGCTCCCCCCTGGCGAGAGGGGGTCTTAACCGTTGCGCAATCGATTGCGAAACGGTTAAGGGGCGGCGGCGGCGGCGGCGGCGGCGGAGCGCCTAACCGTTCCACAATCGATTGCGCAACGGTTAAGACCCCCCTGGCGAGAGGGGTGTCTTAACCGTTGCGCAGTCGATTGTAAAACGGTTAAGGGGCGACCGCGGCGGCGGCGGGTAGGTTAGAGCTCCCAGGGAGCTCTAACATGGCATGTTACAGCTCCAGGGAACTCTAACATGTTATGTTAGAGCTCCCAGGGAGCTCTAACATGGCTGTTGGAGCTCCCTCGGAGCTATATCATAGCCATGTTAGCAGTATTTGTTAGAGCTCCCTGGGAGCTCTACCATCGTATGTATGTTACAGTCCGTGGGAGTCGTAACCATACGATGTTAGCGCTCCATGGGGGATCTAACATGCCATGGTAGAGTTCCACGGGAGCTCTAACATAGCATGTTAGAGCTCCACGGGAGCTCTTACATCCTATGTTAGAGCTCCCAGGGAGATCTAACGTAGCTTGTTCGAGCTCCCTGAAGCTCTAACATACCATGTTAGAGCTCCCTGGGAGCTCTAACATGCCATGTTAGAGCTCCCTGGGAGCTCTACCATGTGAGGGAAATCGATCAACGAAGGGGGATCCCTCAAATCGCCCTGCCCCTCGGGAACCCACAAAATAGCCTCCTGGACCCCCCTTGGGGCGCTCTTGGAGCGCTCTTGGGCGCTCTTGGGCCCGTATTGGGGCTCTCTTGGCCCCCTCTTGGGGCCCTCTTGGGCCATCTTGGAGCCATCTTGGGGCCTCGGATGGTCATCGGAAGCGAAAAGGCGAGAAGGCACAAATCACATATTTTCTGTAAGTTTGTTTAAAGATTTTGGCATCTTGGGGGCCTCTGTGGAGGTCTCCGAGGCCTCTTGGAGCCGTCTTGGAGCGTTCTTGGGGCCCCTTGGAGAATCTTCGGGGCCATCTTGAGGCATCTTAGGCTATCTTGAAGCATCTCGGAGGTCATCTCGGGCTCTCCGAGGAGCTCTTGGAGCCGTCTTGGGCCATCTTGGGCTCTCTAACTACCCGCGGGGCGCCCCGTCCAGGTCCAGGGGAGGGGGTAGGGGGAGGGGGAGCGTGACGAGGAGGAGAAGGAGGAGGATGAGGAGCAGGAGGAGCAGGATAGCAGGAAAAAGGGTGAGCAGGAGGAGGGCCATGGGCCATGGGGGGATGCTGACTACGATGATGACAGTGATGATGACGATGATGATGATGATGACGATGATGATGATGACGACGATGCTGATGATGATGGTGACGACGACGACGATGATGATGACGATGACGATGATGATGATGATGATGCTGACGACGACGACGACGATGATGATGATGATGATGAGGGTGATGATGATGACGATTAGGGCTCACATGGAGCTCTAACATGCCATGTTAGAGCTCCCTGGGAGCTCTAACATGCTATGTTAGAGCTCCATGGCCCCGAAGATTCTCCAAGGGGCCCCAAGAACGCTCCAAGACGGCTCCAAGAGGCCTCGGAGACCTCCAAGGAGGCCCCCAAGATGCCAAAATCTTTAAAACAAACTTACAGAAAATATGTGATTTGTGCCTTCTCGCCTTTTCGCTTCCGATGACCATCCGAGGCCCCAAGATGGCTCCAAGATGGCCCAAGAGGGCTGCTGCTACTGCTGCTGCTGCTGCTAGTGGTAATGCTGCTGCAGGTGCTCGTGGTGCTGCTGCCGGTGCTGCCAGTGATGCTGCTGCTGCGGCTGTTGCTGCTGCTGCTGCTGCTGATGGTGCTGCTGCTGGTGCTGCTGCTGGTGCTAGTGCTGCTGCTGCTGGTGGGGGAGGGGGGGAGGCGGAGCGGAGGAGGAGGAGGAGGGGGATGAGGGGGAGCGTGAGGAGGAGGAGAAGGAGGAGGATGAGGAGCAGGAGGGGCAGGAGAGCAGGAAAAAGGGTGAGCAGGAAGAGGGCCATGGGCCACGGGGGGATGCTGATTATGATGATGAGAACGATGATGATGATGATGATGATGATGATGATGACGATGATGTTGACGACTATGATGATGATGCTGAGGATGCCGATACTGCTGCTGCTGACGATGATGATGGTGATGATAATGATGAGGAGGAAGAAGAAGAAAGGCGAGGAGAGGGGGATGCAGGGTACGAGGCACAGGGGGATCAGGAGGATGAGCAGGAGGAGGAGGAGGAGGAGGAGGAGGACAACGACGACGAGGATTCGTGGGAGGAACACAGTGGAAGGTTGGATGGATGACCAGGTACGTGGGAGGAAAGGAGAGGAGGATGAGGAGGCGGCTGCGGAGAGGATGTGTCGTCGTCGTCGTCGTCGCCGTCTTCACCTCGTCGTCCTCGTGGAAGTCGTCGCCGTCGTAAGGGCCCAACCCCATGCAGCTGCGAGTAACGCAGGATGACTCTCTCCTCTTAGGTAGCGCGCCGCCAGAGGGGTGGAGCCCGAGGCATTGCGGATGGGGGCCGCGAAGCGTCTGAGGGGGTTGCCGAAATGAGGCGGACGCGCAAAATGGAAATGCCCAGGAGCCCGCTGCGTCGGCAACTCCGTCGGCGCCGTCGGCGTCGGACCCTACGTCAGCATCGGCGTCCGAGCTGTTGCAGCTGCCGCGGCTTGGCGAAGCTGCCCTCGACGAGGCCGCCGAGGCCGCGCGGCTCGACGGGGCCGCTCTCGACGAGGCCGCACGGCTCGAGGATGCCGCTCTCGAAGAAACCGCCGCGGCCGCTGTCGAAGAAGCCGCCGAGGGCGCTCTCGAAGAAGCAGGGCTCGGGGAAACCAAAGGAGAGGACGAGGCCGCAGGGCTCGGGGAGGCCGCAGGGCTCGGGGAAACCGAATGAGGGCTCGGGGAAACCGCAGGAGCGGACGACGACATTACCTTGAGCCAAGTCCTACGGACCACAATGGTGACGATGGTGATGGTGATGGCGATGCTGATGGTATGGATGGTGGTGGTGATGATGATGATGATGATGATGATGATGATGATGATGATGATGATGGGGATGGTGATGATGGTATGGTGAGGGCGGTTGTGATGGTGATGATGGTGATGGTGATTATGGTGATTCTGGATGTGATGAGCACCACCATCATCACCATCACCATCGCCACCACCATCAGCACTACGATTTGATAACCACCATCATTACAATCGTCGTCGGCATCAAAACACAAAAACACTCAACCGACTCAACCTAAATCCGCCCTAAATCAAGCATGACTGGCCAGAGGCCTCTACAAACACAAAATTGCAACAAGAAGCCTCGGGCGCAACGCCACGCCCGGTCTGACGACACGCGCTGTGCTGCGGCAAGGAGGAGTTCTCTACGGTCGAGAACGTTTGCTTAGCGTGTCTCGGCGGCGGCTCCGGCGGCACACTATGCCCTGCGAGCTGATACCGTGCGGCTCCGCTCCGCGGGGCGGGAGGCACTCGCGCCAATGATGCTCGGGGACCAAGACGTGGTTAGCGTGTCGCGCCCGGACCCAGACATCCGCCGTCGAGATGTTTCAATCCGTGGCCCCAGAGGTCATGACACGGATCCATGTTTCGTGGTCCTGGGTCCCAATATCGGGCCCCACAGGCCGAAATCGAGGAAATACGCCCAGTTTCAAAAACAAATCGGAGAGAAGCGTGATTAGCAAGAACCAGTGGCGCGACACGCCAAGTAACAGTTCACGTCCGCAATGACGGTGAAGTGCAGAGAGACGGGCGAGATCCCGCCAGAGACCCCCCCTGCCCTGGAGGAGCATGGATTCCGGGGCGCGCTCCCATGGATACGCGGTCGCGTGGATGTCCGCGAACACAATGCCCCGTACCCACGGTGTCGCCGCCCCAGGGTCCTGGCCCGTGGGGCCGCCGATATGGATCTTTTCCTGCCCTCGACACACGCGCCCCCCTCTTTCCCCCGAACCTTGTTCACTGTTTGTCTCCCTCCCTCAACCTCCTGCTCCTGCTCCTCCTCCTCCTCCCTCCCTCGCTGCCCCCTCCTTCCTCCTCAGTCGCCTTTGGCATGCGAGGGGAAGGGGTCCTGAGGGAAACGGTCCCTGCAACGGACGGCATTCCACGGCACTGGCTCTTCAACCCCGAATCCTTCTCTGACTGGGCCAAGCAGAGGCCCTCCGGAGGCCGAGGAGAAGGCGGAGGAGGAGCGGCAAGAGGAGGAGCGAGGCTCGAGGACTCGAGACGTCTTTGCCTCCACTGGGCCTTCGGAGGCCGCCAGAGGGCGCCTGGGGCCTCCGCGAACCCCGGGACCCACCGGAGGGGGATGGAGGCGCCGTGGCCTTGTAACATGCGAGCTCGAGCGGTCTTGCCCAGACGCGGGCGGCGCGGGCCGCAGGGCTCTGGCGTACACGTAGCTGCGCTTGCTCGGCATGTTGGTGCAGCGCGGAGGCCACTGCCGCTCCCCGAGCTCCTCCACCACAAAACCGCGGCGCTCCGCGGCGGAAAAGAACCCGAAGACGGCCTCGTCCGGAACCTGGCCGTGCAGGGCGAAGCAGACCAGCGCCACGCCGCTCGCTGGATCCAGGCTCGCGGCCAGCGAATCCAGGAGCTGCGGGTGGAGCTCCGGCATGTAGAGGCAGTCGCAGCAGAGCGCCAGGTCAACGGGGCCGCCATTGCGGAGGGCCTGGCAGTCCTCGGCACGCGGGAGCAGGCGGGCATCGGGGGACGCGAATCCTGCACCCGAGGGGCTTCCTCCGGGGCCAGTCTCCCCCTCCTCCTCCCCCTCCTCCTTCTCCTCCTCCTCCTCCTCCTCCTCCTCCTCCACCTCCGCCCTTTTCCTCCTGCTCCTCCTCCTCCTCCTCCTTCTCCTCCTCCTCTCCTCTACCTCCTCTTTCTCCCATGAACACCCCTGTCGCTCAAGGCATCCACGCCCCGAGTGGGTCCCCGAACCCGACCCCTGGTTCCATGCTGGCACGCGTTTCGGGAGCAACACCCAAAAAAACATGTGTTTTGGCCCCCTTCTGACAAATACCACAGCCCCGACCATGTGCTGTCACGTCTCAGCCGGCCGCAGTGGCATGGTACGCGCTGCCGTTAATTAGAAAAACAATTTCCTACACGCCAGGGCAGCGCGAAGCAAACCTAATACTTCCGCGGTTGCCTCTCGACACGTGCCGTCGAAGATTCAAGCAGGAGGGCGGAGCGGAGCGGACAAGGGGAAAGAGGAGAAGAAACAGAGAGACAGAGCAGGCAGGCAAACGCACTGAGCGCGCTGCGGCGGCAGCCCGCGGCCACGGATTACCTCGAAGCCACCACGCCGAGCGCATGACATATTGGGTCACCTATGGACACCAGCACAGGACTACACGTTCTCGCATCCGCAGAAAGAAAAAGGAACGGGCGTGGGAGGAAGGGTGGGAAAGCGGGCGGACAAACCGCCAAGCGCCCAAAGCTACACAAGCTGTCCAGCGAACGTGGCCGAAATTCCTCTGGTCAACATTCGGGCGCCCAGAGTATTCAGCCGGATGCTGCACAGCCTTGCAAGCAGCAGCGTCGGGAGGAATATCGAATGGGGGGGCAGGACACACGACGACAAATCCGCCGATCTGGCGTGTGAGTTTCACAGACCTCAGAACAATCTGAGCCTCAATTCCTGAGCTTCAGCTCTACTAGGGGGTGGGTGCCGGGGTGACTCTGCCAGGGTAGGGGTTTGGGGGGGTCGATTGAATTCCCACGCCGGAATCGGACCTCCAGCTCGCTCCGGGACGGCCCCCTCGCCCAGGAGGGCCCCGACATGGGCCAAGAGGGCCCCGAGTCGCCGAACGATCGCTACAAGACGCCAAGCATGTCCCCAAGACGGCTCCAGAAGCCTCCAAAATGCCTTCAAAAGCCCCGCGGAAGCGTATAATTTTAGTATATACGCCTCTTGGGCCTTCAGAACGTCGCAGACGCCCCAAAAGAGCCCCAAAACGACCCAAAAAGCCGCCAACAGGGCTTAAAAACGGCCCAAGAAGAAGGGCACACAATAGCCCAAGAGGCCCCCAGAAAAGGCCCAAGAGGACCCCAGGACGGGCCCAAGAGGCGCCTGAGAGGGCGCCAAGACGGCGGCCTCGCAGGCGCCTTTTGGGCCCCAAGAGGCCTGAAGAGGCCCCAAGACACTTCCAACTGGCCCCGAAAATACTCCCTGAAGCCCCGTAAAGGCCCCCAGCAGTCAAAAGAAATGCGTCCAAGACGTCTTCCCTCCAAGACCCCCCCAGAGAAACTCAAACCCAAAAGGGCCAACGCCTGGCCCCAAAGAGGCTATCCAACAACCGCCGAACATCTCCAACAACCGCCCAAAATATCCTCCTTCTCCCTCCCCTCTTCCACTTCCCACTTCCTCCTCAGCATCCTGCAACTCCTGCCCTTCCCCCCCGCCCCCCCCACCTCATCATGATTATCTTCCTCCCCCTCCTCCTCCTCATCATCATCCTACTACTACAACGCCTCCATTCCCAATCCACATCATCATCCTCACCGCTCGCCGTCGTCGCCGGTCATGACCGCCATCAGGCGCTTCCGGCAACAACGGAAGCGTCCCGGACCGGCGGCTTTGGCCGGAGGCCACTACAATATATCAGATAGTCCGCTTCAGAGGCAGCTCCAACCAGCGTTTGCTGGAGGCTCGCTGAATAACAGCGGCCCGCCCTGCTGGGATGCCCGGCCCACGCACGCGTGCATCAAGTATTCCGACTTCCGCAAAAATGTGTGTGTAGCTTGCCCATCGCCCATTCCTCATTGCCATGGCGGAAGCCACCCTCCCGTTCTACTATGCATCCTTTTCCTCCTTCTCCTCCGCCTCCACCTCCTCCTCCTCCTGCTCCTCCTCCTCCTTTTCCTCCTCCTCCTCCTCCTCCGCCTCCTCCTCCTCATAGTTCCCCTCATCCTCCTTCTTCTCATCCTTCCCCCTCCTCCTCTTCCCCCTCCTCCTCCTTTTTTCTCCTCCTCCTCATTTTCCTTTCCCTCTTCCTCCCCCTCCACCTCCGTCTCCGCCACCTTAGGTTGCCGCCTCCTTCGTTGCCCTGTCCCGCCCCCCCCCCCCCCTTCGGCATTTTTCATCCCCGCCGCCACCTCCAGCATTTCTACTGCAAAGGCGCGCGCATCAACGTTCCATTGCCACGGCGCGCGTGCCGAATTTCTTTGGCGCCGCCGCCGTTTCGGCCAGCACGGGTGCGCTCTCCGTCGGTAAAATAACAAAGCCGTTGGGGCAACCCCACGGCCCGGGCCGTCGGGGCAACCCCTCGGGCCGCTGGCGCGCGAGACTAAACCTTTGGGACAAGTCCGCGGGCCTCTAGCCGCGCGCTGCCGCGCCAAGGCGGAGGGAAACGCGAAGCCCAGCTCTGCTGCGAGCTGCGCCACCCGAGCCCCGGAGGTCACCGCTGTTTTGTGCAAGCTCATGAGCGTGATCCGCAAGGATGCTGGCGGCCCGCGCCCCAGAACCTCGCGCGAGGGCGGTTGGGGGATCAACATGTCCGCACGCGCGCGGCGCGGGAGGGCATGACGATGAGGGGCAGCCAACGCTACTCGTCAGACATGCCCGCGCGGCCAGCGCCCTCGTCCCTGGCGCAGTGGACGGCGACTCCCTTGCGCAGCGAATGACCCCGCGACAACGTGGAGGTCAGGCAGGGCGCGTGCGTCACGACGAACCCCGCGCGGCGCGCGACGCGCGGCCCCGAACTCTGCCACGTGAGCGCATGCTCCCTGGGCCTGAACATGAGCAAGGGCCTCGCCCGCGCCTCGGCCTTGCTGTCGTCATCAGCGCCTGCGACGCCCTGTAGCAGCAGTTCGGCGACCTTCTGGTAGAGCAGGGATTCCTCGAAGTCGTGCAACTGCATCCAAATTCTTTGCGGTAGGAAGCGGGGGCGAAAGAGCTGGCCCACTGCGCACTCCTCGTGCCGCTGTTCGTCTTCTCGCTGAAATTCGGGGGGAAAAAACACGACGGTGGCCCGTTGCTCTTGCATGAGTCCCAATTTTTTCAGCTCGTCCTGCACGGCCGTGAACCGAACCTCCATGCAAACGTGCACTAGCAAGACCACCCGTGCCCTAGAGACAAGTGTTTCCCCCTGCCCCCGATTCGGCCGATGATGGGTTACCACCGCCGGCCCGGACACAACAGTTCCCCCCTGCGCCCGACCGTCGCCATCGTCCTCCGGGATTCATGTTCCCCCTTTTCCTCCTTCTCCTCTTCTGATGGCTTGAAGGAGTGGCCCATGATGGCCCGTCGCATGCAAGCCTTTTGCCGCCACTGGCTCTCCATGCTTTCCGCCATGTAGATCACTTGGAGTCATCGGCATGATGGGATTTATTGCGGCCTTTTCGTGCACTCTGAGAGCTCCTGCTCGAGACTTCCCCGCCTCCCACCCACACATGAGGCTCCCAATCGAGATGTCCTTACCATTCTCTCACAGAAGAGGCTCCCTCCAGAGTCAAACCTCAAGAACCCCACAATGACGACAGCTACAAGCTTGAGGATGGCCGTCCCGGACTGGTAGCAGGAAGTGCGGTCCCAAAGGAAGGGGGTTCCCACTCGAAAGCCATTCTCTCGCAGACGAGGCCCCCGCTCAAGACTTCCCTGGGATTCAGGCCTCAAGACCCCCCAAACTGACGACGGTTACAAGGCTGAGGAGGTCCACCTCGGATTCGCAATATGAAGTGCGGGCCCCAGGACACACAAATAAATACACACACAAATAAAAGGATCCCCCATATTTTCCCATATCTTCTGGGTTTCTGTCTTCCCCCCCACTTCCCATATCTTCACATATTTTCTGGGGAATCGAGGATTAATTGTGTCTGTGTGTTTCTTTTCCTCCTGAAATATGAAGTGCGGGCCCCATGAGAGGGGGGGCTCTCGCCCGACAACTTCCTCGCCACTCCACCAGGCGACGCTCCCGATCGAGACGTGCTCAAGATTCGGGCCTCAAGAACCCCCAAAGTACTGACAGCTACGGGTTCGAGGATGGCCACCTCGGATTAGAAAACTACTACTACTACTACTACTACTACTACTACTACTATTACTACTACTACTACTGCTACTACTACTACTACTACTACTACTACTACTACTACTACTACTACTACTACTACTACTACTACTACTACTACTACTACTACTAAAACTACAACAACAACAACTACTACTACTACTACTACTACTGCTACTACTACTACTACTACTACTACTACTACTACGACTATGAAAAGCGGTCCCCACAAGGACAGGGCTCCCGCTCGAAACTGCATCGCGTTGGCTCACGGACGATGCTCCCGCACGCGACTTCCTCAAGACTCAGGCCACAAGACCCCCACAGCGACGACAGCTACAAACTTGAGGATGGCCACCTCGGACTAATAGCATGAAATGCGGGCCCGACAAGGAGGGGGCTCCCGCTCGAGACTTCCTCTCCATTCACTCACAGACGACGCTCCCGATCGAGACGTCCTCAAAGTTGAAGCCTCAAGCGGCCAAAAGTGACGAAACTTACAGGTTTGAGGATGGCCGCCTCGGATTGGCAACATGAAGCGCAGGCCCCATGGGGAGGGTGCCCCCGCTCGAAAATTCCTCTCTATTCACTCACAGACGAGGCTCCCACTCAAGACTTCCTGATGATGATGAAGATGGTTGGTGATGATGATGATGATGATGATGATGATGATGATGATGATGATGATGATGATGATGATGATGATGATGATGATGATGATGATGATGATGATGATGATGATGGTGGGGGCGGTGGCGGTGATGGTGATGACTAGAGACACTTAGGATGTTGGGAAACAAATAAAAGAACAATGGCACCCAGGGCGGCAAGCGGCGGGGCGGCCCCTGTACACACAAAAAGTGATAAACATACTCTGTCGGAGATCCGCGCAGATTTCTTGGATCGGCACTGAACCACCCCTCCATGGGGCTTGGAGCGCGCCAGGGGCGGCGCCGGAGGCGCCGACGCCAGGAGTGCCAAGCGCAGATCAAAAAATCCTCGCGGACCCCCGAAAGTTTAAGTTTGTGCCGTGACGTTCCCCTTCGGAGAAACCATCCCTGGGATCCATCCTGGCAGGCTTTTTTGAGCAGCGCCTAGCAGTGCCCTCGAGAAGCCCCCCCCGAGGCCCCAAAATAGGGAAACGAACTCTATACACCGACGCTTTTTCCGACCCTGCGCTGAAATTCGCACGGGAACGCGGATCCTGGTGTATACGGGATCCTGGTGTATACATTTTTCGCTCTTTCCCTTGGAAACCGGGTGAAAGGTACGCACCACCACACCACCCCGACGTCGCCCCCGACCCTCAAGAAGTCGTGGGATTGAAAAAACAACCCGCCTCTGGTGATGTACCGTCGGACCTAGGACATAATGCCGTCCTTCAAGAACACGAGGCCCTCCGCCTGCCAAACTGAAGAACACTCGAGGGTGCCATCCCCCAGGATGCACAAGAACATCCAGCAAACACGAAAATCATTGGGGTACCCTCCCCAAGCCGACCTCGATCTTACTCCGCGGTCCAACTGTACGTGCTCCAGCTTCCGACAAAGAAGCACCCACAGCTTCCAGCACCAGCGCTCCGGCAGTCCTCGCCCCAGCAGTGGCCCCGCACCTCCGCCGTGCCGGCCGCCGTGCCCGCGGCCCGGCGGTTCAGCGCAAGCGAGGTGGCCAGCGCCTGGAGCCTCTGCGCAGCCAGCGGACGACGACGACGACGACGACGACCACCACGACGACGAAGACCACCGTGATGACGACGACAACCGTGACGACAGCCGTGACGACGAGGAGGATGACCACCACCACCAGACGACGCCCACCACCACCACCACCACGACAACATCGGCCACCACCACGACGAGGCCGACGCCGACGCCGACGCCGACGCCGACGACGACGACGACGACGACGGCCACCACGACGACGACGACGACGACAATGACGACAACCACCACGACGACGACGACCATCACCACCACGACGACAACGTCGGCGACCACCACGACGACGCCGACAACCATCACCACGATGACGACGACGACCACCACCACCACGACGACGACGACCACCACCACCACCACGACGACGACGGCGACTACCTCCACCACCACGGCGACGCTGGCGACCACCACGACGACGACGACGACCAGAACGACGACGACGACGACCAGAACGACGACGACGACGACGACGACGACGACGACGACGACGACGACGACGACGACGACGACGACGACGACCGCGACCATCACCATCACGACGACCACGATGATCACCACGACGACGACTACCACCACGAGCACGTCCGCGCCGCTCCCCGCGCCATCGAGGGTTACTGGCCAGAGGTCACCGATGGGCCGCCGATGGGCCGCCGATGAGCCGCCGGTTGGCCGCCGAGCGGCCGCCGAAGCGCCGCCGACGGGCCGCCGATGGGCGGCCGAAGGCCCGCCGAAGGCCGTCGAAGGCTTCCGACGGGAGCCTCTGCCCATCGGGCGCGTCGGTGGCGAGCACCCGCGCGCCGAGCTGCAGCGCCGCGCAGGAGGGCAGCCCCACGCCCGCGCCGATCGGCTACCCGCAGGAGGGGCCCTGGGCGGGAGTGGCCTTGGGTTCGTGGCCTGCCGTCCGCTGCGCGCGGTGCGACAGCAGCGGCCTGGCTTGGCCCCGCAACGCCCCCCTGAAATTCGCGGGCCCCACGGGCCAGAGGCGTGCGAAGATCTTCTGCAACTAGTGAACAATATTTCCAGTTCGCGCGCGCAGCGGCCCCTGGGGGTCCCTGGACGAAAAACATCCCGGCAGAAGCTCGTTCCAGTCGGTTCAGGGATGGCCTTCCTCATGTTTGCGGCGCGGCCTTTCAGGCGCCCCAGGGCGCTCCAAGAGGACCCCAAGAGGGCCCCCAAGACGGTCCAAGAGGGATCCGAGTCGCTGGCCGACCCGTCCAAGACGCCCAAGATGAGCTCCAGACGGCCGAAGACGCCTCCAAGACGCCTCAAGAAGCCTCTCAAAGGTGTCCCAAGAGAGCCCTTAGAGGCACAACTTACGAGTGTCCCACCGGTTTTGAAGGATTTCGGCGTTCTCGCCTGTTCGGCTTCCCGGCGCTCCAAGACGGCCCAAGATCGCCGCAAGACGGCCCAAGCGGCCTTCAACAGGGCCTCAAAACGGCCCAAGAGCAACACGACGAAGCCTCCAAAACGGCTCCCCAAGAAACCCCCCCAAAACGGCTCCAACAGGTGGCTCTGACGGGGGACCCGGACGGATATTCCCAGCCCTCGGCCCCCCCCCCCCCGAGGCCCCAAGGGGCACCTAAGAGACCCCCAGGAGCCACAGATGCTCCCAGGAGGCCCCCAGGAGGCCCCCAAGGAGGCAGCCAAGAGGCCCCAAGAGGTCCTCAAGAGGCCCCTAGAGGCCCCCAAGGGGTCCCCAGAGGCCCCTGTAAGGCCACAGGAGGTCCCAAAAATACCACCAGATAGGCCTCCCAAGGACTCCAAGAGGCCTGTTGCTACCCCCCCCCCGATCATGTTCAATTCGCATGCGGGCGGACTTCGGATCCCGCAAGATTCGTCGTAGAGGAGGCCGAATGAAGTCCAGCATCATCGCACAAACACTAACGAGCCACCCCCAGAAATCTCCAAGTAGCCGCAAATATACCCCAAACAAGCACTCGAATGGCCCGACGGTGGAACTCGATGGGTGACAAGCCCAGCTCCATGGGTGACGAGCCCAGCTCACGATGGTGCCACATACCCATGACGATCCCCAAACAAGCCCCCCAGAAACAACTACACAGGAACTGCTCCACCTCCAAGACTGTTGACGCAACGCCGCCAGAAAAAGACCAACGCCCAGCAGTGCAACACAGGCAACGAACGCGCGGGCAAAAGCCAGCGATGCCACATGATGGGCCGGCGAAATGAGCGAAGCGATCCGCTGCCCCGCCGGGTGCGGCGTGCGAAATCCAGGGCACGGTCTTCCAGGTCTGTGTTCTTTCAGTCCTCTCACCAGCGCGCTTTTCGTACCTACCCCTCTGAGCCCTCCTTCAGAGCCCATCCCAGGGTAATCCCTGGAATCTGGTCGCTCCGCTGGCCCGAAGACCCTGGCTGCGCCCTGGGGCGCTTTCTGGCCACCACCTCCGTCCCAAAACGACCCCTCTTTCACGCGCTGGGTTTCCGGGCGCCGAAAAGTCCTCTCAGAGACCTCTCCGAGAGTTTTCTGGGCCGATTTGGGGGACATCCCTGGGCTCTTCTCGGCTGATCTGGACCGTCCTTCAGGCCACTTTCGGCCGTTCTGGATGCCTCCCCAACTCTCTTCAACACTCGTATGCTCAAACGTACTAACGAGCAAAACAAATTGTAAAACACATGGGATTGTAACGATTCTTGCCATCTCGCGATTCTCATCCCGCCTCTCTTGGAGTTCCCGTGCATAGAGGCCTCCTCCATGGGCTCGGAATAGATAGGGTCGGAGGATCGCGCCGCATCGCCGATACATCGCGATGCATCGGCGATGCACCAGCGATGCATCGTCGATGTCGCCGATGTATCGGCGCCGTCGGCGTGGAAAAGATTGGGCTCCGCATCGATCCGTATCGTCGCTGCATCGGCGATGCGGCGTGATCCTCCGACCCCATCTACTCCGACCCCATTCAGGAGGCCTAGAGTGCATATCCGCGGGTTTTTGTAGACAGCTTCGAACCTGCGGATGCTCTCTGAGGCCGTCCTGACAGCGTCGCGGCGCCCTCCTCGGCTGTCCGGGCCGCTTCTTGGCGCCCTCTTAGCCCGTCTCGGGCACCTCCCGAAAGCCCGCGGGGGCCCTTCCAGAAGCCACAAACAAGCCTGAGTACAGTCGGGCTCGATTGGACAGGACACGCGAGAGGACCCAAGACCCTTCCGAGGGCTACATCGCCATATGAGTGTAAGAAGGCACGTGCCGCGAGGCACAGGACACAAGGGTACCCTTGAGCTGGCAGAGTCGACCTACTAGTCCGGGCCGACAGTAGTTGCTTTCCCCCTCCCGTTTACATCGTTCCAACCCAATCCCGTGAAACCTCGTGCGCAACACCACCCCAAGAGCCTCCCCTGAGCTCCCAGGAGGGCCCTCAAAGACCCCCAACATAGCCCCAAGAGGAGCCCCAAACGCCCCAACAAATCCCCGACAAACCCAGATTCCCTCTCCAAAGAGCCGCAGGAGGGCTCGAAGCCCCAGACGCCCCAAGGGAGTCCCACCAAAATCAAGTTTCCCCCAAGAGGCCTCAAAACTGCTTCCAACAGGCCACCGTGAGGCCTCCCACGATATCCCAAGGAACATCATAAGCATCATCGTCAGCATCGCCATCATCATCATAATCATCATCCTGTCGTCATCATCATATTCATAATCAGTCACCATCATTATAATCATCATCATCATCACTATCATCATCATCATCACCACCACCACCACCACCATCATCATCATCATCATCATCATCATCATCATCATCATCATCACAATCACCTGAATCCTGGGCATCATCATGCTCCTCACCATCGTCATCACCATCATCCTTATCATCATCATCATCTGCATCATCGTTATCATGTTACTCATCCATCGCGAGTGCGCCCTCCGCTGCCCACTCGAACAAGAGCCTCGTAGCATGCTGGACTGGAATGGAGGGCTTTGCCGCAGAGAGCTGGGCAGACGCCAGAGAGGGCCCCAGATGTCGGTGTTCCAGCGGGCTTGCGTAGAGGAAAAATCGGGGATGGACAGAACCACCTTTAGTAACACGTGGTTTAGTGAGAACGGCCTCGGGCCCAAACCTGGCGGGCGCAAGCCTGGAAAATGACGGCCGCGGCACCCTCTCGAGAACCGCAAACGGACAATTGACTAATCGACGTGTCAGGGTGGGGGTTCTGTCCACCCCCGAAAAAAAAGGAAGGCGAAGGGCGCGGGCCGCAAAGGGGGGGGGCGAGCAAGCAGCGGCGGCGGACGAGGCGCGCACCAACAAGAGGCCAGCAAGGCAGGCGCGCGCGCAACCCTGCGCAGGGAGGCGACACGCCTGCGAAAGGCAGTGACCCGCGAGGAGGCGGCAGCTGGCGCGAGGACCAAACAGAGAGAAAGGACGAAGGGCACGAGCCGGGGATAGGTCGAGTTCTTCGGCTCGCTCTGGCCCCCCCTAGGCTGAAGATCTGACGTCGCGAAGGCCCCGGAGGCGCCCCAGGCAAGCCCACGAATGCCACCGACACGCCGAGGGGAGGGCCACAACAGACTCCGCCCAGAACACCCGAAAGACCTCCCAAGAGACACGCATGAAGTTCACAAAGAAGCCTCTTCTTCAACGTGCGATAGCCGAAGCATTTGGCCCCCAAGAACGCCTGACCCCCAGACAACAATGTGGCTGTACATGTGGGAAAAGATTTGCGGGTGTACCCAGCCGTCACGACAACAGAAGCCGAGAGGGAACCCGACTCCAACCATGAACACAAGCGAGCCGCAGAGAAGTCAAATAATAAACATACCACGAAATCCACGATCCAAAAAAGTGGTGCGGCAGTGTCTGCCGCCTCAGAGGCGTTCAATCAAATAAGAGGCAAACGAGCCTGCCTCACGTTTGACCACCCTCGCTTCCAAACGGGAGCCACACGATACCAAAACTACCCGTGGGGTGGCCCGCCAACGGCCAGGCTGCTTGACGAGGAGGCGCGTGGTACGAAGCGAAAACAGGGTAGGTACGGTCGGACCCCTCCGCCAGTCCAAACACCCCAAACTATAAGATCACTCGAAGGTACCCTCCCGCAGGGTGCACAAGAAAATCCAACAAACACGGAAAACATTAGGGTACCCTCCCCGAACCGACCTCGATCTTATACATCGGGCCGACCTCCGAAATTGAAGTCACCCAGCCTTCCCAGAAGTTTTCTAAGCCTTCTCCGAAGGCACAAAACACCTCTCAGAAGGCTGGAGGCCTTCTGAGAAGCCCCGTCGCCTTCTGAGGGGGCCTTCTGCTTCTCACTCCCTCCCCTCTGAGAAGACCAATAGGTACCGATACCGCTACTCCGCGGACCTCTCCTGGGGAGCGTTCTGACCAGAATTTCGAGGCGAATCCAGCGGTGAAGACGAGAGCCTCCCAGGAGGCCCAAGAAGGGGAAACACGAGGGAAGGGTAGCGACATGGGCACCTCTTCCTCCTCTGGCCCTCGCTCGCCGCAGAGAGGTACTCCACCCCGTGGTCACTCCCAGCGCGCCACAGGCCACTCCAGCGAAGGTCCACTCCCACGAGCAGCCGAGCCGACCTCGAGGACCCGGCGCCCCGCGAGGCGCCCGCCCACGAGCGCTCCCGCGGCCCCGCTGGCGACCATCTCGGCGCAATGCTGGGCCTGGTGGTGGGCCGGCTTCCCACCACCGCTGCCACGGGTGAGACGGGGGAGGGAGGGAGGATGGGGAGGTCCTCCTCCTCCTCCTCCTCCTCCTCCTCTCCTCCTCCTCCTCCTCCTCCTCCTCCTCCTCCTCCTCCTCCTCCTCCTCCTCCTCCTCCTCCTCCTCCTCCTCCTCCTCCTCCTCCTCCTCTCTCCTGCCTACGGTAGCGGTGGTGGGAAATCCGCTCGTCACCTGAGAGGGCCCCCCCACGGGTCTGTGCTCGAGGCCTTCGGCTGCATCCGTCGGCTCTCGGCGATTGGTCCAGCCTCGGGATGCGTTCCAGCAGCTGCGCCTCGCCGAGAGCGTCCCAAAGGGTCCCAAAATCGTCCCGGACGCCCGCCAGGGGCCCGGCTTGTGGGACCGACCCCCTCGCGGCGCGGCCAAAGCCACGACAAGACTGCAGTGCTGGGCCTCGGAGGACTGACGGGCGGCACGAGCGTCCACGTTCGAAGATACCCCGCGCGGGTCTCTAGGGTCGGCACTGTGCCCCCGCCTCCTGAGAAGCAACGATAGGGGGGGGGGGGGATAGGGATAGGGGGGAAACGTCGACCTGGAACCGGCGATGCACCGCCGATAGATCGGCGATAGGCCTCCGATCGTGAATCCGAACGTTCCTGGGCATGTTGGGGCTATCGGGCCCCTATCGGCGATCAATAGGCGATTGGGGGTCGATGCATCCCCCCCCTGCCCCGCACCCCGGGCGGCGCCTCTGGCGACGCCCCGGGCACGCGTCGCGCGGCCCAGCGCCGGCCCGAGAAATCCGATCGCGGACCTCCGAGCCCAAACCTCCGAGGATACGAATTTCCCAGCGCGCGGCCCCAGAAATCCCGACGACTTCCACGGCCGCAACTGTTCGCCCCGGATCCGTGTCTGACGGTCCCAGGACCCGACGACGGGCCCCGCAGGACGAACTCGAGGAAACACATCCGGATCGATCGCCGGAGATCTTGGAGTGCACACAGGCAGCACCCCCCGGATAGGCCCGGCTGGCCTCAACGGGTCTCCCAAGTAGCCCCAGCTGGCCTCGACGGGCCCCCACCCGAGTAGCCTGGGGCGGTCTCCATACCTCAGGCTCGGGGCACGGAGGGTCGCCGCTGGAGGCGGCGCCAGAATGTTGAGACCTGCCTGGGCTACTCGGGGGGCAAGTTGCGGTCAGCTGGGACCATTCGAGGGGGGTGGCCGTTGAGGTCAACTGGCGCGACCCGAGGGGGGCATCTGCGCGCGACCCGGAGGCCTGCGGCCAGGAACTTTCGCTCAGCGTGCCCCCACCACGGCAGCCCCGGCGACACGCGGTCCTCTTGCAAGCGGACGGCGTGTCGCTCCGCCCTGCCGGGGCGGAAGGCTCGGAGAAAAGCTCGGGACGCAGACGCTCAGGGGCCGCGACGTCGACGGCGCGTCGCGCCGAAGCGTGGTGGGGAGGAGGAGGAGGAGGAGGAGGATGAGGAGGAGGAGGAGGAGGAGGAGGAGGCCAGAACCAGCGGAGCGACGCGCCGACAAAAAGTTCCCGGCCGTGCCAGCCGCTCGGATCGCTTCTCTAGTGGGGCCCCAAAGGATATGCACCACCACCACGTCGACTCCTCCTCCCTCCTCTTTCCAACGAGAGGGAGGGGGGGAGGGAGGTGGTGGTGGTGTTGTATATATTTGGGCCCCCTATCTAGCGGAACAAAAAAACACATAAGCATCAACTTTTGGAGGTCCGCGCGGCTTTCTTGGATCCCCGCCGGACCCGCCACCCCGTCGCGCGGAGCGCGCCAGGGAGGCTCAACGCCGATCCAAGAAACCCGCGCGGAGCGCCAAAAGTTTATGTTTATAGCGTTGTTCCTTTTTCGGTACCAGCCGTTCAGTTCGCTTCTATACTCGGTGCCGGCGCCCACACGACGTCGCCGTGGCCGCTGGCGGAGGCGCCGAGCACGACGGGCAGGGCGAGGCCGCCGACCTCGAAGACCCGGAACCAGGAGGGAGAGCGGTACGGCCGGGGCACGTCCTGCCGGAGCGGGGGTCGCGCTGTGCTCCTTCGGAATTGGGTCGGGCATTGTCCTCCTACGGGCGGACCTTGGACGAGCAAAACAAACACAATCAGATCACAGAAGCCAGAAGTTGTGGTAACGTCGTCCCCAGACCAGTGATGGACTATTCTGGAGTACTCCTCCTGTGGGGGGACAGGCCCGACTTCACTTCGGAGCGGCATGCCCGGGCCCAGACCTCCGGCGGCACTGGCCGGAGCACGGGCCATCGCGGGCGGCGCAGCCCCCGCAGCCCCCGCAGCCGCGCCCTCGCGGCCTGGGCTCCTGGGCGCGATCCCGCGGAGGCGAGGCCGCCCGAGCACGCTCCGCGCGGGGCACCCGCGAGAGAGCGCCCCAGATTCGCGGGATCACGGCCCAGGGGCCCCGGACCGTGAGGCCGCGCATGGAGACGTGTGTCTCGCCCGCGACACGTGCGCCCCCCGCGTTCCACCGAGCCTCTCCCTCCCTCCTCCTTCTCGCCCAAGCCGACAGGCGCTCACGCCTGCGGCGTCAGTGGAGCTGGTCGACGGCGACCCCGTCGACCAGCCAGGAAAGTTAAAGGAGAGCCGTCACCCTCAAAGTCAACGAGGACACAGCTCGGTCCAGGGGGAGCTCAGACTCGTGAGTTCCAAGCAGAAGCGGGCGTGCCAGCAACCGCTCTGGAGCAGGACGCAGCAAGAGCGGGACGGCACGACCAAGCAAGCCAGCAGGTGGTGGGAAGGACAGCAAGGACTACAAGGAATGGTAGCAGAGAGATGATGAGGACAGAGACAAGGAAGACTGCGTGCGGCTCAGTCGCGCAGGCTACGAGGCTGCGTCGCCAGCCTCCTGTTGATGACATTCTGGCAGTCAGGCCGAAACGCTCGGCCGCGTGCTCGATTGAGCATGGGCCCACGGTATCCTTCCCCACCGCCTGCCCCATCTATCTCCACCTCCTCCTTGAGACACTGCACTAAATTAAAAGATGGGAAGGAGGGATACAGAAGATGGCGAGCGAGAGGAAGTCCAAGCGATGGCGGCTGACAGCCAGGTACGGCAGCGGCTGGCGAAGTCGGCGCGCTCGCGCCATGCCGCCCTCGCCCCCTTGCAGCGCCCCCAATATTCCACCTGCCGGCGCCCGAGCCGTCGGGCACGCGCCCGCCCCAGGGGCGGACACAGAGGCACTCCAGTTGGGCGGGCTTCCCGACACCAACTTCCACTCCTCACTATGAAACTCCCCCACCTCGACTTCGCAGCTCCGCGCACGAAGCGCGCGCGACGCCCGCGCCAGCCCATTCGGGCCACGGGCCGCGAACACTGTCTGGAGAGCTCGGGCGGGACGAACCTCCAGACTTCAACAGACCCGAGCACGGCAGCACTATGCTTGGGCTCCGCCGTTGCTGTCGGCGAACGCTGGCCCAAAACGGCGTGCATCCCCGCCTGGCCCCCACGCGCCACCCAAACCTCCCTACCACCACAACGGCACAATGCACGCAGATGATGAGAGTAGGCCAAGCAGATTGGGCGCCCGAGTTATCCGGGGTAACTCAGGTCCGGGGTAACTCGGGTTTGGATTCCCGAAAAAACGAACCCGAGTTATCCCTGACCCGAGTTACCCCTGATGATTCGGGGCTCTGGACGCCCGAGTTATCCGGGGTAACTCAGGTCCGGGGTAACTCGGGTTTGGATTCCCGAAAAAACGAACCCGAGTTATCCCTGACCCGAGTTACCCCTGATGATTCGGGGCTCTGAGCAGAGCAACCGCTGGACGGCACTCTTTGGAAACTCCCCCCCGCCACCTCCAACGCCACCTCCTCCGCTTCCTCCACGAGCGGTCGAGTCGAACCACTCAGCCGCGGCGCCCGCCGGCCACTTAGCCGCGGCGCCGCACGGAAGACCTGGGCAAAAGGTGGAAAAGGTCGAGAGCCTTCTGCATCCGGAAAGGCGAAGCAGTGCAAGAGGCTGGCCATCTGCGCCGAGCTGGCGATCGAACGCGACCTGTAAGTTGCAGCGCTCCTGCAGCATCGCCGTGCAAAGCGAGGATCTCAATCGGCGTTTGTGCACAGAGCTTGTACCATTCCAATTGGGACCATCATCGCTAGACCGAGTCATCATGTGAAGCGTCGGCGGAGCGTCATAACTAGGCAATCGCAGTTGGCTTCATGTCAAGCAACCGCTGGCACGTTGGCCTCTCTGGGCGTCGATGGGAACACCCCCCTGACCACTGGGCAGGGGAAGTAGAGCATGCACGTGGCCACCAGCTCGATGACGACGAGCAGGACTGCAAGCCACTGGGGAGCGGCGGGGGTTATCAGTGCCAACGGCACGGCGAGGCAGACGGAAGAGATCATGGCGATGGCCAGGGCGGCGCTGCGCGGGCCCAGCTGGGAGCGCGCCGCCCGCGGGCACATCTCCGAAAGCCGTGCCCGCCAAGTCCGTGCTGAGGCGCATCGCGATCGCGTCCGTGGAGAAGCAGGTGCTTGCGAACGCAATGCGCATGTTTACCAAGTTCGGAATCCCGTCCTGCACGGTATTGATGGTGCCCGTCGAACTCACGAGGATATGACTGAGCGAGCCCACGGCCACCACGTGGTACGGGACCGGGCCCTGCTCATTGAGCATCTTTTCCACGCGCTCGGCCACAGCCGTGCGCACGCGGTGCTACTGCGCCACCTCGCCGAAACAAGGCTCGATTTGCCCCTGGACGAACTCGCGGTCGCTCCTCGCGGTCGCTCCTCGCGGTCGCTCCTCGCGGTCGCTCTCTTTGAGGCACTCCGCCTTCTCGAACTCGAGCGCGCGCACCTACTCCAGCAGCTCCTCGCGGCCCCTCATGTGCCACTTGCAGAACATCCAAAAGAATGGAGACGTGAGCGCGCACAGGCCGACGAAGTTTAGCACGACGCACACGAGCCAAAGGGAAAGATACTGCGCGGCTTTGGACTCGACCTCCACTACCCACTCGGCGTGGTCTGGGAGAAGAAGCGTCCAAGGCAGGAGGACGCATAATCATATGGTTGCGATTGAGTGAAAGACGTTGAGGGCGATCGCGAACACGGACAGTTTCAGCGGCAAGAAGCTCACTATCCTGCAATCCTCGCTCATGTACATGAACGCTGCAAGCTCGTTTGCGCACCAGAGCCTCGTGAACTACTTCGGCTTGCGCACCAGAGCCTCGTGAGCCATGTGCTCGGAGTAGCGCAGGAACGCGCCCAACTGCTTGATCCCTACGGCCTTCTTGCCCTCCTCAGTCTGGTGCATGCAGCACTTGTCCAGGAAGCAGTAGGGCGTTCCCCAGGGGAGGTCCTGTCCGCACCGGAGGACGACAAAGAACATCAGCATTGGCAGGGCCCAGTGCATTTGCAGACGCATGCTTGGAACCACATCGCTTCCGTCGAACATCCTGGCATCGCCGTGAACTGGCGCTATCGGGAACGTGTAGACGCCAGCGAGCTCCAAGGCGTGCAGCACCGCGTGGACGAAGATCGCCGCGGCCACGGCGCGCAGCGTGTTCAGGTCGAACGCGAGGCCCGCCATCTTCAGCCACCCGGGGGCCCTCCACTCGTGCGAGGGGACGGCGTCGATGATTGTGACGGGCCTGGACAGCGCGAGCGTCTCCTCGCCGCCCGCGCTGGCACCCCAGAGCCGCTGCGAGCGCAGCGTGACGCCGGCCGGACTCCCGCGCATGAGCTCCGGATCTTCGGCGGTCAAGACTGGGCCCCCGTCCAGCTCGGCCTCCCTGCTGGCCGACCGATTGCAGACTCTTGAGGCTGTGCTCCGCCTTCAGCTGTCCAGAGTCTTCGTGCTCGCCGCCCCGCTGCCCTCCTCCGCGCCAACGTTCGCGGCGGCGGGCGGTCCGCCGTGCTCGCGGTCGGGCGTGGGGCCCGTGGCGCCGCCGCCGCCAGCGAACTCTGGGCCGGGCGCCGGGGGCTCCACGGGCAGTTCGCAGGCCATCGCGCGCGACCGCGCTGGGGAGGGGACGATTAAACCAGAGAGCTCCCAAGCTGTGATTGCACAGTTCTCTGCTGTGCCACACCTCTGGATTCGAGCATCGGCGGCTTGAGCCAAAATGGCTACGGACTCCCTCCTCTCTCCTCCTCTCTCCTCCTCTCTCCTCCTCCTCCTCCTCCTCCTCCTCCTCCTCCTCCTCCTCCTCCTCCTCCTCCTCCTCCTCCCTCCTCCTCCTCCTCCTCCTCCTCCTCCTCCTCCTCCCTCCTCCTCCTCCTCCTCCTCTCCTCCTCCTCCTCCCTCCTCCTACTCCTCATCCTCCTCATCCTCCTCCGTCTCCTCCCCCTCCCCTCCTCCCTCCTCCCTCCTCCCTCCTCCCTCCTCCTCCTCCTCCTCTCCTCCTCTCCTCCCCCTCCTCCTCCTCCTCCTGCTCCTCTTTCTCCTCCGCCTCCTCCTCGTTCACGTCATCGTCCTCCTTCTCCTCTCGGCGGTGGACTGACCTCCCTTTAGTAAACCTCCCTTTGGGGAAAACGACCTAGGACCGAAACCGACGGACCTAGACCCGCAAAAATGACGGCCGCGACGCCCTCTCACGAACTAGTCGACGCGTCAGGGTAGGAGGTCTGTCCACCCCCGATCCTCCTCCTCCTCCTCCTTCTCCTATTCCTCCTCCTCATCCTTCTCCTCTTCCTCCTCCTGCTCCTCCTGCCCCTCCCCCTCCCCCTCCACAATTACTCAATATGAATACTACTCTCCCTCTTCCCCCGATGGCGGCCTGAAAGTAGCCGACCCCCCCCCCCCGCGTACTGTTTTTTTACACACAGGATTCCCGGGAGTTGGGTTTTCGCCTGCGTTTTTTTCAAAATGCTGCTCTCGCTGAGGCGCCGGCCTCATTTCTGCTCCCGAATCGTTCCGAATCGTGCTCCCGCTGCAGCGTGGGCCTCATTTTCGGATCGGTGTTTGGCCTCCGTCGTTCAGGATGGCGTTCTCGCCCCAGCGCGGGCCTCTTTCTCGCGCGCCCATCCGCCCGCCACCACCGCGCCGCAGCACCAGCACC